ACATACACTGGCAAACTGTTTATAAACAATGTCGTCTACGATAATTTTTCTACACAACCATATTTGGCATGCTTGTCTCTATTTTCTTTTATCTCCATATTAACAGCGTCAGAACACTGCTCTCCGACTGCCATGAAAAGGTATGTAAACTAATCTCGAGCAGAGAGCAATTTGAAAATGAGTGGGTTCAAAAATTCAATTATAATGTTAAAAGTTTGCAGTGAAAATATGAAATTTCTTTACGTTTTATTTTCCATGAAAACATGACTATATTTTTCCGATGTAATTTTAGAAACAGATTTTTAGCCAATTAAAATTTAAGAACATATTCTGCTTGAGATTAGTGGTGTGAAACGAATTTTCCCGTCGGCGAGCAGAGTTTTTACGCTACTCCATGCAATTTGGTGTAGATATTTTGTGTTATTATTATACTTTGGATTAAAAAAATGCAAAAATAAGTGCCTGTGGTTTCTGGTATGATATTTTTTTCTTTCAAGTATGTCAGGAATTATGCAGAATTATGAAAAATTGCAATGGCATCGAGTGATTACAGAGTTTATGTTGGTAAAAATGGTAGGGAAGTTCAACCTTGTAGACAGGCGCTATTAATCTTATGTAAATCTTAGTTCTGTATTACTGCAACATCAAAAGAAGACAGTAATGGTATAAATACATGTTACTTTATTCTACATTTCATATTTGCAATCCGAAAACCCGACCTTGTTATTATAATTAAATAGTTCATGAGTTAAATAATTCAAGAGTTACCAACCCGTTTGAAAGACAGACAATGTTAACATTCACTTAAAATCAATCAAGTGAAAAGATTATTTTAATACTATACACGGGAGTTATATTAAAACTATTACCTAAATCTTAAAAGATGCACCTAAATCTGCAAAATACTCATATATATTCTGAAATCTTATTAAAAGCAAGTATATATAAATATAGGTACTGTATATATTAAGAAAGAGAAAACACACATTTAACAATATTTAATAATAACAAACAGAGTGTATCTGCAATCAATGCATTTGTTCTAAACAACTTATTTGTTGATTCACATCAATATAAAATGAATGTTTCTGTGATTAAGAACAAGCAAACAAATCTTAATTCTAAATTAAACATGTATTTAACTGGATCACACTAACACACACAGACACTAACTATATCAAAAGATATGCTTGGAAGAATTTTATAAAGTTCCAGACACAATGTAAAGTACACAGAAATTTAAGTTCTTTAAAATCTTATTACATTGCATTTTTTAAATTCATACCTTTTAAATAGTATAAAATATAAATTTATAGGGTTTTCCCTAAGGTGCGGAATTTTCTTCAAATAATTACACAGGTCTTTGTCATTCTAGTGAAATAATGAATTAAAATTTTTTTGGTTACTCATTCTGGATGTAAATGAACTATTAATTTACTAAAAGAACACCAACATCTTCCTGCTGTTAGTTGAAGCTTCTTAAAAAAATAAAGAAGACAATAAATTAATCGTTCGATCTCTCATCGATCTCTAAAAAAAAAAAAAAAGAGTAAACATGTTTATGAAACCGCTTTACTGAGGTGGCAACCTTTGAGCAATTACTGAGCGTTGTAAAATTGGCTAGATCTTTTAACAATCTTCCAGCAGTCGGCCAGCCATTGTAACGTACTGCCAAGATTTTCCAGAGGTCTATTCATTGTCCACGGTCTTTAAGATGTTTAGACTCTAACCAAAATAGTTTTTTCAAGGAAATCACTCTCTCTAACAGCGCGGAAAGATCGCCCATCGCTTAATGATCTCTCAGAGGTATTTCAAAGAACACTGTTTTTTAATCACTTGTCTATTTATGGCTTACGGTGATCACTCTTGGTTAAACTTTATCTCTCAGCAATATCCGTAGATCTCTTCACTTTCTGAGGTAGCTTAAGAGAGCAATGTTACCATCAGACTCTGAAGGAACTTTCAATGTGATTCTTTGAGTGCCTAGATCATGAAGTGATCTCGACAGATTGCCATGAAATGTAGTTCTATCCTACTTTTCCCAAGCACTTTATATTTGCCTTAAAACATTTGCATATACATGTAGACAGACTTTCGAGACTTTCAAAGAGTTGACAAGCTGAATATCACCCTTTCAGTGATCTCTCTTTGTGTAAAGGGGCCCTCTAATTATGATTGGCAGATTATAATGCGCTTGTTGCGAGATGAAAAATTGAGGAAAACAGTTTCTCCCAGATCTCACACCAGTCTCTACGATCTCCCAATGATCTCTCAAGCACTTGTTGAAATCTTATAGTCTCTACTACAATTTAAAGTAAAATACTACAATATCAAGTAAACTAAGATTGTCTCTCTGCAAATGACCTTCAAATGACTTTTTTCCTTAAGCCGTGAAATTTTTTTTGCGTTCTTTGAAAGACTTCTAAATGATCAAGATCCAAGCAAACTTTCTGTGCTCAGAGGGCGACATTTGGCCTTTTTGAGATATTGCTAACATCTGAAATCTTTGAGAGCTATTTTGAGTAGAATCAAAACTTGAGAAGACCACAGAGATCGTGTAGACCATTGGGAGATCAATGAGAGATAATGGCGATCATTGGAAAATTGTTGAGAGATTTGGCAAATTTTTCAATGCTCGGTAATCTAACAACAGTCTCAACCGCTGTGGGGAATTTACTGTTTTTCAAATAAAGTAACATCTTTCGTTGTTAATTAATGTAGTTCGTTTACATCGGAACAAATAATACATGTATCTCCGACAAATTGAATATGACTCATTTAAGTAAGAATTGAATTTTTGTCCAGATTACAGAATGACATGAAACAAATGAACTCATCCAGAAATAACGAGACTATGTATCACGGGCATTATTAATTTATATAATACTAAACCTTTTCTATAATGTCTACAATAAACCTGAAATAAACAATCAACAGGTATATATTCTTTCAAAGGATTTTTTCATAATTAAAGCATTGCAAATTGCTATTTATACGTTTTAGGCACATCTAGTATTTAATTTGTCATCAGACTATCTTCCAGCTGGTCAATGAAAAATCCTCTCTAGATCACTGCCTGATGTAGTGACGTCAGGCAATTAATTTTCATCGAAAAGGAGATGGGCGAACATAGCGTGCAGAAAGCCTATAGCTTCAAATATATAAAAATCATGTTCAATTTGTGAATTCAGTATTTAGAGTAAAGTTCTCATTATTGAAATGTATGAAATTATGATAAACAAAGCTTTTCTGAGGAAAATTTTCTCGGAAAATTTATTCTTTTATTTAAAAAATAATGTGATATTCGTGGGGGTTCGAACCGTAGCAATAAAAATCCTGAGTATCATTTTCTTTCGAGACTAGCACGCTAACCACTTGACTACGCAAGATCTGATAAATATTGGCATTTAAATCATGTTTGCGATATGACCCTTGACTTACTGGACTTCAAGTATTTCTCGAAAAGATGCGAATGATATGTCATAAAAATATATTTTTAAGGTATAGTGGGTCTTTGCTCCATATTTTAGGAAACCAAAAAATGTATATTTTTATGCAAACTTCGAGGATTAACTTTCAAAAAAATGGAGCGAAGACCCACTCATATCGAAAAATAGTGTTATAGTATGAGAAAATGACTCTTTTTGCCCTCTTTAGTGTGTGTACAATATTTCATAAGCAAATAATTTCAATCTTTGTGAGATTTTTGCAAATTGTAGAGATTTTACATAAAGTATATTTTAATGTTAGATTAAATATCAAGGAAAATTTTGATATAATTGAGATTTAATTTTTCACCTTCATGTTTGTCACACTATAGGCTTTTCGCTCGTCATGTTCACCCATCTTCTTTAAAAAAAAACTTCTAATATGTTATTTGATTTTCTATCCTTACATACTTAATCTAATAGAGATAAAAATACAATGATTTCAATACCCCTATGCATAAATTAAAACATAGATCCTACTTACTATGTAACTCATTTGTATAAATGATTTTTTTAATAAGAATGTAATACCAGTATTTTAGTTATTGTTATAATTTGGATTGAATGAATCTTAAATTCTCTAGCAGAATATCATTCATTCCTATGAAAAATTTAACTCGACGATATGAATGCGTGATCTTAATTGTACTGAGATATTTTTTTTCTTGTTTGTAGAATGTTTCCACAACTTATAAATAAGAGCAATAGAAAAGACAACAAATTGACAACACTTTTGATTTAAGTTGAGTTCTTTTTCACCAAATATCGATTGATTTATGATGTAAAATGAGGTAGTGTGCGTGCTCCTGCTATTTCACTACATACGGCCATACAATGTCTATAAACACGTTACATTAACAAACCATTGCAGAATGTTTTCATTTTAAGTAATTGGGAACTACTGTTATTAAGGACATTGATTCAAAATCAGAAATGCTCACGACTTTTCTCGCAATTAAGCCCCAAAAATTCAAGCAATACACAGGTACGGGCTTCGCAGAGAAATAATTACATCTCTCTTTCTCTCTCTCTCATACCAAAATACTCGACTGTCCTTGGTAGCCATGCGTAGTTTAGTTTGACCCAAAAATAGCTATCGGTAGGGTAGGTTTCTTGAGCAGTTGCATTCTTAGGCCACAGACGCCATTTCGATCTGTTGAAAGGTAATTAAAGTAACAAGAATAGGAGTAAAATATATGTTTGATTAACGGATACAATGGTACGCAATGTGGGAATACAATGTGGGAATGCCCATGATACGGGAAATAATACCCAAACGTGTGATCAAAAACGTCGTTGTAAAGATTTTTGCAATGGATGGCTGTGTAGCTCTCTGGTATTTCAGTCCAAATTACCAAATTATGTATTTCAGAGAGCTAGTAAGTTACAAAATCGTTGTATAAAAGTTAGTAAAAATATCTTCTTCTTTAAAAAAAAAAAAAAAAAGGTCTAAAGGCCTGAGCAAATTAATTCTTAGGAGAAATTGTATTCCAAAGTGTTGTACCGTATGTTTTAAGCAACACTTGATACGTGCATTTTGTTTCTGTCTTGTCCCTTTTCCTCTTTGTTTTCCGACCCAGTCTGGATTGTTCTCCTTTTCTTACATCCTCTACAGTATATAATATCCAATATGGCTTTCCTAAAGTTTGGGTTAAAGATGACGTAAAGAATGACGTTGTAGCCCACACTAAATGTGGCAAGGAATATCTTTAAGAGGTTATATGACCCCTTGTAGTCTTCACTATCGTCTGTTCCGTTCATTTTCTAAGAATAAAGAAAATACAATTATTTAAATGTTGTTACACGAAAAAAAATTTGTTGAATTATATCCGGTTATACAAAAATAATCATCCATGTATGCCTGTTCACGCAAATAATTCTTTTATAGCTCTTCCCATCTACTGGTGTAGATCTGTTCATGTGAAAAGATTTAAGGAGATCAACAACTTTTGAGACTTTTTACATCCCCCTTCCCCCCACCCAACCGCTGCCAAACTACATGTATATACATGTATATCCTCTCCCATGAAATAACACTACGTCACAAAAGTATAGGAGCTTGGGTCAAGGATAATGATAACGAACAGTTGTCATGTTCAAAAGTCAAGTATACAAATAAACTGAAAGAGGAGTAAACAAGTACTATTGAAAAAATCAGAGTTGGGATCAGATACAGTGAAGGAGTAATCATCCCTTGACGACCGGTCACACTCGCTGTGAGTCGTTTTGATCAGGTAAGCAGAGTAATCCGTATACTTTTCAGTGTGAAAATAATTGCCTATATCGATTTTTTTTAAAAAGTGATCATTAACATTCGACCTAACGATAGGTTGTATTTTTTCAAACAAGGTATGTTCTACCCCATATGGTAATAGAACCTTTTACAATTAGACATGTGAGACACAAATGCTTTGCGACATTATTTATGAACCCTTTATTTCTCATTTTTATCTTAAAGTATTAAAGGGGGTCAACTCTAGAATCAATGGCAATAAAAATGTAAATATATATGTGCTTGCTACATGTACATGTATTAGATGCAAATTCGAAACTATCGAAAGTCTGGAAATTCGTTGCATGTTAGAAAGATGAAATTAAGAATTCATGAGATATTTTTGATGCAATTTGCAAATCAAAATCTATAGTATAGTTCCGGTTTTTTTTATTTTATGACTTGGAAAAAAAAAATGTTTATCTGTCTGAGAGTGTATTGCTTAATGATCTTTTCGAAGAAATTGAGCTGCGTATTTCAGATAAATGTCTTTTTCCATCGGCAAGACCTCCTTTGATATGGTAACACAAATAATGAACGTGTTATCACGTCACGGACAGATATGCCAGTGGTGTATTATTATGATATTTACCCTTTTTTCTACGCCTTTATATGTCTTTCTTTATGGAAGAATCAATTTCGGGGGTTATTTCAGTTTGTACTGTCTGTATATTCAGTCTGTTTTAAGGTCCGTGATCCCTCTGTTCACTTATATAAATATTTGCTTTAATGCTGCCAAATTCATAATTAGAAATTTATTATCTATGATTAAAATGAACATTACTTTAGTTTACCTTTTGCTTGCAATGCGCCTTTCGGGTAAAAAATTGACTTCAAAATTTGACAATTTTATTAAGGCACAAAAGTATTTTTTTTTTTCCCACAATGATGGGACTTCATTTGTCAAACCGGCGTACGCCGAATGCGCTGCTTGACCTTTGGTAACCCGACTTGTTACTTCATTCGACTGGGGAAGGTTCGCCGGCGTACGCCGATCTCGCCGGTTTAAAATGACCGGCGACGGATTCGCCGGTCTTAGAAATATGGCGGGAAAATTAAACAACTGTTAAAATGCAGATACTTTTTACCAATTCGGCATGTTCTTTTATTGTTTGCATTTATTGAACAAATTTCCATTCATATATTTAATATCTGTTGTTATTTTCGAAATTAAAATTTTTCATGAGGTCCATGATTTTTTTTTATTACATTGAATTTTGAATTATTCAACCTTTTTTTCGCTAAGACATAATGTAAAAGATAGATTATAATCAATTGATTGTTATTTAGTATATTTATTTTTTGTTTTCGCCGGTTTTTTTCATTTGCCACTTAGCCGTTTTACGCCGATCATATGACCGGCGCAATTCGGCGTACGTCGAACAGTAACAAAGGAAGACGGCCCACTTAGAGTAATCTCTCTTCTCAGAGGGTCATTGAACTTTAAAGCATCCAACAGAACAACTCGTCGTATTTTCTAAACATTTCCCTCAGTATTGGACAGTCTCCTGTATGATGCAATGGTTAGAGCGTTTGCTCTAGAGTAACTGAGTAAGGAAATGTCTGTTCAAATCCCACTGCAGGACGTAGAGACCGGTTCTTCGGATAAGATAGTATAAACCAATTTGCAAGGTAGTTTCTGGCACAAAAGACCCCTCATTGCTAAAAGGCTATAAGTGCCGAGTACGGGTCTAAATTTGCATCCCTCCACCTGCAAGTGGTGGTGTTTCAATATGAGTAAAATTCCCGAAGGAACATTAAACAAACAAACAGTATTGAGTATCGTGGATTCTTATCAAATAGTTCGTATTTTTTCTATAAATTAAATCCTACATATTAGTCTTCCATATTCTTTTTCAAAATACATGCATGTACGTATACTTTTTTCTGATACATTACTAAAAATGAGAATGCCTCGGATAGTTGTAACACGGAATATGAAAAATCGTTATGATAAAAATTACCTGCACTTTACAATATTACAGTTTTTTATTGCTGTTGGGGAAAACGACATGAAATTGCTCAATTAGCGATGCAATAAAATTATCTTCCCCTTTACATTAACATCAGACTTAAAGTCAAGCTATAGTCTCCGCTAGCTCAACCGTTCAAGCCATGATTTAATCAATTTAGTGAATCTCAAAGCTCATTCTTATGCCCCCTTCACACTGAATGAAGACTTTGCTACGCTTTACGCGACCTCCAACATCTATGCGATCGTGATGGAATCGTTAAAGACTGGAAACAACTTTTCTGTGTAAAGGCAATCACGATGCTGCAACGATCCTCATACGCGCAAAACTGAAGGAGATGAGGTGGAGGCTAATACCAAGTTTTCTGCATAAACACTTGCGCCACGTCTTTTATATCCTATTACAATCATACCGTGAACTCACGTTCTAAGCCAGTTTTTTCACAGCTAAGAAGTATGCTACTAAGAGTAAATCGAAATGTTCATTTTTTTTTTAAAAAAGCATATTAATTAAAGCAATTTATATTGTACTTGTTTTCGAGTGACTATTTTTATTCTTTTATTTATCTATTTCTTTTCTTTTTGCAATAAAAACATTTTATTAAGTTTTAAATTTAAGGATTTGATTCAAATTTTGTGATTTATCACCCAGAAGTGGAAGAGACCAGGTTAATATTTTTTGGAGCAGGTTCAGTGTTTGGAGGATGTTAAAGATTTAGGAGCAGTTTCATTCCAAAGTAACTATAAGCCTAGAGGTGACTGAACTTTATTGATGAAATACACATTACCAAACTGTCTTTGGATGCTGAATCTAATCTACATTTTCCGGATGAGTATACAGGTTAAACGTTTGAAGAAGGTTCATTCCTTAGTAACTGTAAGCTCAACAAAGACCAAACTTGCATGGTTGATGCGTCCATGAATGCACTCTTCCGGATGCTGGACCTGACCCACATTTTCTGGATGAGTGACCATGTTTAAATTTTGGAGAAGGTTCATCTCCTAGTAACAATTAGCTTTAAGGCGACAAAGCTTGCATTGATGATGCCTCTTGGGATCATAATCTACCAGACTGGTTTCTGTTGCTGAATCTGACTTACTATTGTTCGGACGAGTAAACAGGTTCAGAGTTTTGGAGTAGTTCATTCCTAAATAACTGTAAGCCTTACCTGAACTGAAGTTGAATGAATGATACATCTAGGGATGCACACTTCCAGACTTTGGATGCTGGATAACTTGACCTACATTTTCCGGATGAGTAAACAGGTCAAATCTCTGCCTAGACCAAGCTTGCTTGGAAAATGCATCGAAGAATGCACACTACAAGACTACTGAAAAATTTGCAGTATGTTCAATCCAGTGTAACTGTTAGCCCTATCTATATGAACTTGCATGGATAATGAATCTAGGGATGCACACCAAAGATTTGCGTTTAATCCTGAATCTGACCTTCATTTTCCAGGTTAATGAACAGGTTAATGTTTTACAGCTGTCCCATTCCCAAATAACTCTTAGCCCTATGGTGACTTATCTTGTATTGATGATAGGTATACACATTACTAGACACAGTTTTGTAGCGGGATCTGACCAACATTTAAAGTTTTTCGGAGGTCCATTTTCAAGCATGTATAGATACTGCCCAGACCAGACTTGTACAGATTTAATATCTAGGGATGCACACTTCAAAAACATCTATTTAGTGTGAGACTTTGTCGTTGCTGTAGATATCATAGTTTTGTTATCTTTGATTACCCATATTAAATTTTTGGTATTTTGAAAGAACATGAGAAAGGTAGCATGGGCTTAGAAATAAATGTTCTTTGGTTGCAGTGCAAGCGTGAAAGAATCTTGGCCTTCTTATCGTGAGCCAACCGTAGTCAGTTCTCCCACCCCAAACCACTCCTCCTTCTGTCACCATGATATTTCCACGCATTTGATGCGTTGTCATTGCATCTATATACATCAAGACCATGCTACCTTAAACCTCCTTCATACCGGACAAAGACCCGTTTGTATTAAAATCTAGCCTGATTGTTAAATGATTTCCAGTGTCGTGGCAAGTTGATTCGACAGTGCGCCTAGTAGAGAGTAGAAAAGCTACAATTTTGAGCATGCGCAATATTTGAGTAGTAGAGTGTGATACTGACTGATTATAGAGACTTCGAATCAAAGTCATAGTAGGATTGTAGAGACAGCGTTTGCTTCATAGCAAAGTCAATGGGAAGGGGCTTGATCGTGTAACAGGTTGAGGCACAATTGACTAAAATGGCCTTATGATCAGGCTATGATTCTTTCACACTTCTCTGGGGGCATGTGCGCCAAAACTACGTTGTTACTATATCATGCTTTGTACGTTAACTTTTTTTAGCCAATGAAGACTGCGGTACGACCCCACGACATGGCCTCCTCGACTGATCATCAACGCTTTCAATTTGACTGTATATACTGCTATCATTCTACCGTCTTTTACCATCTTTTAAACGGTAAAACAACTCAACTTTGAAGAAATAGACAAACTAA